ACACCCGCCGGTCATCTCTCTCCCTGGTGGTGTGTGTGCCGCTCCAGCCTCTCTCTCCCTCTGGTGTTCTCCCTTCCCCCTCGTCCTAACTGCTGTGTGTGTTTGTCTCGCCAGCAGCAGCAGCAGCAGAGAGAACAAAAAAATCACGCCTGCCTCGGTTGTTGGGCGGGGACGCTTTTGCTTCCCGACTTGGCGGGGACGCTTTTGCTTCCCGACTTCAAGTTCGGCGCAAATGCGTTCTTAACTCGATGCACTGAGCACGCTTGAGCTGGAAGCAGTTGGGACAGCTCCTGCAAAATATTTCTTGTTTTGCACAAGTGTTCGATTGCAAGTTGGTGCCTAGATGGCGAAATGGGCTCCAATCTCCTTGTTACACAGACACCATCAGACGGACAAATTGTGGAATGTTCGCCTCCCGTGGGCAAGATATTTTGTTTTTTCACGTACGTACATATACATGACGATCCCTCTAATCAGCTTTTTTCTTGCTAAAGCAAAAAAAGCACCCCTATCGGCGCTCCTCAAAAAAGCGATTGAAAATGAAAGCACGAGAATGAATGATAAATCATTGAATTTGAAGCGGACGAATCAAAACGGCGTGGTAAGAGCGGCAGAATCGTAGAATGCGGCATGCAGCCGACTCGCGATTGCGCGCCCCTTGTTTGTCGTCAGAGATACAGAGACGAAAGACTGTTGAGGCAAGGAGGAAAACGAATGCAGATAGATCACCAACTGATCGGGGCGCTGCCAACGCAGCCGAGGTTACGAATTGCGCTGAGGCTGTGTGTGTTCTTCTTGCTCTTGTCTTTTCGCTATAAACTAAACACCGTTCCGATCCCTGCTCAGTACCTTTGCATCGATTGTTAAGAAAAGTACAAAATTCAATCAAAAGAAATACTACTAGTTTTGATATATGACCACACTCGAAGGGGATGGGTGGAAGTGTTACCAGCAGTGAATGGGGGAAAACGTGCCGGATACCGGGCTTATTTTCTTATTTTGAGTCTATTTGAGCCTATACTGAATTTGGTCAAACTGACGCAGACGCCTTCCGTGTTCACAGCAATGTTTTTTCAGGTACCTATGACGAATTATGAAAGAGAAATGAAAGGACCCAGAGATGTATGTGTACATGCATCCTCTACTAAGTCTCCTCTACGGTCGCGTTCGCGTCCATTTTATCTGTACATACCCCTTCCGCTGGGTCCGCTGTACCCGACTGTCGAGTGTATCCCAGAACGCCTGTTTTTTTCCTTGCTGGCCCTAGCCGGTGCGGTGCGTACGCAGCGACGACGTTCACCGCTCTGCTCTTCACGCCATTGCGAAGCGGTTCTCCCGTACAATACAAATTTACGGCATGAAACCTGCGTAGGAGCATAGATAGGAATGCCTGTGAGGTCTCCTGCTGATGTTGTGTCAAGGCATGGTGTGTGCGATGAGCATGGGGGTGTACTCATAGTCGTGCATGCCGCAGTCGTTAGACCGTTCACCTCGCATCCCTACAAAGCCGGGACGCAGCACGCCGGGTTCTCACCGGACCAGGCTCTCACAAAAGCTCGAAGCGCCATGAGGTATTCGGCGAGTCGCATGAAGGGTGCGCTGCATCCTGCGAAGGGTGTTCGGCATCTTGTGCTTACTTCCTTGCGGATGACATCTGCGAATGAGTAGTTTATTTTCTGGTGCTCTCACTGCCGGAGACAGTCGTATGCACTGTGTAACTGCCTCGACGGTATTTGACCATTTTAACACAACGTGGTGCGATCATCCCCTTTGCGCGGAGTGAGGGTTCATCTCCCCGCACAACATATTCTACTCGACCGCGATGAGCACGGGCGGTTGCAAGAATGTAGCCCAACTGTTTCGCAGCAAAATTATATGAGACGGGTTCCGGAGGCTCGTGATGTACCTCCTTCAAATTCATCGTCGCATTTTTTCTTTTTCGTGGAGAAGCAACACGGATGTGTTGTCTATCTATGACTTTCTGATATGGGAGCCCGGAATCATGGATTGTATGGTTAAGGTGTGCTCCAATTTGCTCTTGACGTTTCCACTCTGAGAGAGAGCAGTCAGTCCTTATGGTGACCCTTACAGGGGGTTACCCGCATGTTTCTCCTTCTGTTGGATGACACCTCCAACCAAGGTCCGTCTCGTGCGCAAAGTCCATGGAACACTCCATCTTCCCGTCCTGTCTTGCTTGCGTCTATCCGACTAATCCATGCAATGAAATCAGGGAAAACCGGCGGGCACACTCTCAAGGCGGATTTGGATCCCAGAGCGCACGATAGTGCGGCCTAACCTAAATGCGTTACACCGCACAAATGATACAGGTCTGGGTTCTTTGTGGATGGAGACGCACCTCAACGCGATGAGGTGTGCGCGGCTGTCGCAGCTCTCAAGAGGGCGGCGGAACAGTTCGGTGAGCATGATGCTAAACACGTTTTGTTTGGTTTGGCCAGTGGGGATTGGCAGTGCCTTTATAGGCCGTAGCGACAGTAAACCTCTTTCTTTGTTGAGACTCAAATGCCTCTGGTCCTCTCATCGCATGTGGTCCGATTAACTCTCTGAGGCTACATCAGTACTGGCCAACTAACCAACCTTTGACATAGGTGGTGGGACATACCGAGAGAGCCGCAGCGGCACAGCGGACAGAGAGGTGGACGCCAACGGCGGCATGAGTAGACGTGAAGAACCTCTGCTACAGCATAGCCGACACGGCAATCGCTCCGAAATTTCGCCTCGTACAGAATCTTAAAGCATATGTATGCAACATCCGGAGCAGGCACACCCTGTAGGTTCTCGCTGTTATTGGCTATAGCACTTGAAACCTTGTATTTTCCAACCACACTATCCCGTTGACCATGGTGATTTACAGGCCAGCGAGCTAGAGTGAGGCGAGAAATATATGCAATTCACTCGGTAGATGCGTCACCTCCGGAAGTTGCACGTCTCGAGCGCACAAAGGGTACATGCATGCCGTGCTGAAACATCCGCTTGCTTTTTTCGTGCTGACGTGCCGTATGGATGTGTGCTGTCGCTCCTTTCGCGCGTTGGCTGGTGCGATTCTTCCGTTGTGCTGTAGCTGCAACTCTCGGCCAACTGGATTGTCCTGTGCTTCACATCTCGGGGGAAAGCCACCTCTTTTCTTGCTACGACCTGGGAGAGAGTGTAAGTGTGTTGTTTGTTGTGAGAAGTGCGGCCGCACACTATTTGCAATCCCCATCTTTGCAGTGCCCTTGTTTTTTTCTATTTTCCTTCACTTGTCTCCAACACTCAATTGTATCACCGACCCGTGGTCAATAGTTGGAATGCGCCCGCGGTACAGAGGGCGAAACAAGAGGGGGGTGGACGAAGGAAGACACTCAATTTGCAGTGCCGGCAACATGCGAAGCCAAAACAGTATTTGCCAGCTCCTATTGGACTATAGAAGAACGAGGGCGGTGTGTGCGACTGGTAGTGATGATGAAGTCATTTCGGTGACTGCAGAGAGCATGAACAAACGAAAGGGAGGGAAGGCACTGAACCATCATGTGGATATGCCAGATACATTGGCAGGAGACGGGCGAAGCGGGGAGATTGGAGAGCAAGACAGAGAGGACAGGGGCGTACGAAGCCTCATATACTGACACCCATCACGCACAACCTCGAAATCGATGTAGCGTTGATTGTGTTAAGATAAACGCTAATCCACTAGGCAGGCTGAGTAGGCTTATGGAATAGCCTTTATCTAACGAAACTTAAGGTTTTTTCTTGGCCGCCCAGCTGTTGAGGTTGCTCGTTCACACCATCAGAGAGAAAGCAACACGCACACATTGTGACAACCAGATGTTCTTGGCGCGTATGATTTTACTTGCGACGCCACATGTTGACATGAGCTGCAGCGAAATCCGTGCTGGCCCTTCTGTTGGCGTTCGAGTAGAGGTGCTGTGTGTTGACGCCTTTCTCTTCTGTTGTCAGCGAGTAAACCCCGAATGCCCCTCGAGGGGCTTGGTCGTATCGTGTGCTAACGTATGTGTTTTCGCCGTTGTCGCTCCGTGCCACGTTCAGCTGTGGACCAACTGCACCACTGTTTCGGTTTTATCAGCACAATCTAAGAAGTTTACGATCGCTGCACCACAGTAGCTCTTGGCGCGTCCCGCAGAATAAAAGTGGCTCGTGTCAAGGTCTTCCACGAGGGACCACTTTCCAAAAATCGAAAATTTCTTCTGTGGTGTTTATATTTTTCTTTGCCTTGGCGGAGAAAGAGGCAACCCGCAGGCAAGTAAATAGTCCGTTCCAACCCTAACTATTGCCGCGCCTAACCCTCCAATCTTGTACCGTTCGTGGCGTCCTCGGGTGTTATCATATGACAGGTTTTGGCGTTTTATTCGCAGATGAGCAGCGACAACCTCCGATCGTTCAACACGCACGATGCAGACGTCCGGTTACGAGATCTTCTGGCAGACATCAAACTCCTCCTGACCGGAGCCGTATTATTGTCGCCAGGAGCAAACCATTCCCCGCCCGTGTCAGCATCTGATCGTCGTGGAATGGTGTAAATTTGAAGTTCTTTCCGAATATGGTTTTTGTGTAGTACGCAATTCCCGGAGACTGGTGGGTCAACGGAAAATTGCGCTTGGCAGCACCACTTGTACAAAAAGGGCAGGGAAGGGCTCACTGGCGAGGCGTGACGGATGAAAGTAGGCATGTTTAGCACACCGTTTTCAGCAGGGAAGCATCCCTCCCCCTACACGTTTTCCGCGGGTCGGATGTGGGTTATATCGATGCAGCACCTCAAACCAAGAAGTGTCCCACACGTTGCCCGTTGCACATTACGTTCGAGTGTAGTCTATGCTTCTACTCCGCTCACACAAAACAATTTGAAGTTGACGTCTTCAGCCAGAGAGATGATGGTGGTTGTATACAATCAATGCTGGGTAAAACATGTATCAGATCTCACACGCTATCTCTCTCGGTCGGCCATACATACATCCCACGTGACGTTTGGCTGTGGACAATCCGCCTTAAAACAAATTTTGGGTACTGTCATTTGGACGCTCCATCTCTGGGCCAGATTCGTCGACAGATGGTTCGTCGCGTACCATGGCCTCGTACGAAACGCAGCCCACACACTCGTGGAGTTCTGAAGCGATTTCGCTCGGCTCCTTCCCCTTTGTTTCCGGAACTAGCGCGTAGACGAACACGGTGGAGGATAACGCTACGCTGCCGAACAAAGCAAACGTCACGAACCCGCCCATGGAATCAAGGAGTTGCAAGAAAAATGCGGAGGCAACGAGGCTCCCTAAAAAAGACCCCATCTGCCCTATTCCGAGGGCCTTGCCCCTAACGCACGAGGGAAACATCTCGGCTGTTACTAACCACGTGACCGGCCCAAAGCCGAGGCTATAACAAGACACCATTGCACAGCAAGCCAAAAACGACAGAAGAGGTTGGCCGTTCTTAAATGACACACTCAGAAGACAGAGGCTGATGGTGCAACCGCCAGCGCCCCACAACAGAAAGGGCCTTCGGCCCACCTGGTCAACCTGAGAGAGAGCAGTGAGTGCACCACATCCAAGAATTGTTGGTCAAGCAGGATCCAAGGCGTGTTCGTGATTCCTTATGGTGGCGAATGCCGAACAAACTATGCCACGAGTCTGATGACAATACTGGGGAGCGCTCGGTGGTAGCCCGCAGCCCGTTATCACTCGCGCACATCAAAGCTCACCGGCGTGCACCTCTCGTACAACGAGCTCGAGACAGCTCTTGCTAGAATGGCACCACATATGTCTTGCGGGTACGTTGCAACTCACCCAAGTGATCGCGATGATTGTAGACAAAACCTTCACCATCCCTAACACAACAGCCGGTGCTGCCGCGTTGAATCCTGCTGCCCTCAATATTTCCACGTTGAAATTGAGGACGTTCGCCTGCCCACCGAGTTGCTGGAAAACAGAAAGAGCTGTTGTCACCAAGAGCGAAATTCTCCACTCTGTTGTGAGTTCCATCAGACTGCCCTTCGCATTCCGGTCAAAGAGCTCGATCTGACGAAGTTCCGTCTCCACATCGTCCCGGGAATTTCGAATCTTGAGGAGGATGTTCGTGGCCTCTTCACGCCTCTTCTGGGTCAAAAGCCACCTTGGGCTCCGAGGCATGAACCACACCATCAACACGAGCTGAGCGGCAGCCAACCATGCCGACAACCCAAACAGGATCCGCCATCCTCCTGGAGAGGATGAAAACAGATTCGGCATTGAGGTGGTTTATGTAGTAAGGAGTATTACCGTGAAGGAACCATGCCGCGCATCTATAACCATGTTGATGCATAGAAACGGGTTAAACTGTCATGGCCCCACCCGAGATGCTCACTCCGACTATCGACAGCAGCAGGCCTGGGGTAGCATTTTCCCTAGTCAGCCAGACAGCATGGTCAACGCAGAACTCACCGTGTACATCCTGAAAAACCTCTCCAGCAAAAAAGGCCGCAAGCATTCCGATCGAGATGGCGAGCTCGTTGCAAGACACCATAGAGCCGCGCAAGGTCCGAGGCGCAACTTCGGCGAGGTACGAAACATCTGCTACTGCAGACACCGAAATCGACACCCCAACGATGAAGCGTCCCACCAATACAACACCTGACAGGGACCGGTTATTCCGTGGGGGACAATTAATCTCGTCCAGTTCCTGTTGAGCCAAGGAAATACATCTCCAACGCTACCCCGAAACGCCCCCTCACCCATCGCGTAAGCAGAATAAACAAACGGCAGCTCTTCATCACCGACCAGGATGGATTGAAATAGGCAGCCAAAGCCAACAAAGCACTGCTGACGGGACATAAACATATCTCCGTATGTGCAACATATCTGCCTCTTACACGCCTTGAAGACACCCAACAACACCCGAACCTGTGCTCCTCGGAGAGCAAGTGTTGATGAAAATGCTCTTTCAACCGAACGGCTTAACGACGGCTTACCTGGGGTTGTAGCGGAAATTAAGACCACGCCGCCTGCGATAAACGTCAAGTCGGTGAGGACTATGGTCAGCCAACGCCCGAGTCTGTCCGTCAAAAGCCCTGCCGCTAGCGATCCAGCCAGGGCACCCATCACCATTGTAGACACGACCATGTCCTGCATTCCCAAGCTGAAACCCATGTCACGTTGCAGCTGCGGTAGTACTGGTGCAGTCACCTGTAGAATGTATCCAACTCTTTGTCACTGTAGCAGGGCATACACCTTGTGTCGATCGCGCGTTCATTCGTTCAGAACGAGACCAAATCAAAGGGGGATACACGCGCACCCCTGTGATCAAATGTGCTCCTACATGGGCACGTCGTTGTTTGAATACGGCCCTCACTTGTTCGTAGGAGATGAAAAACAAGTTGCGACCAATGTTGCGATTCAAGTCAAGTTTATCGTATCACCGGGGGGGCATGAGCGAACGGAAAGCCATTGCGAGGATCCGTACGGAGCCTCAGAACTCCTCCTGCACCGATGGTCCTTGGAAAACAAATAAACGCAAGCAGGAATGTGCACGATGAGAGCGAAAATAACGCCGAGCACGCACACACCCCAATGTCGTATCCAAATAAAAGTCCGCCGATGGATGCAACGGTGGCTGCTTTCGCTGCGAAGAACTTCGAACTACGGTTGAGGAGTCTCCACTCGTTCCAGAGGCCACGGCCTTCGCTAGACTGGGTGGAAACGGGGGGAGCAAAAATGTGCGCGAGGTGGCAACGAAGTCGTGTTGGAACACTTGAGAACATTCGCGTGGATAATTGCTGTCGAGCGGTTAATAATCCAGACCATTAATTTCCAGCATCCCCTTAGTTGAAAGCGATCTAGGTCGTGAGTAAACACCCTCCGGCTTCACGGTCGACGAGGGAAGGGATGGGTGGACCCTTCTCGCGATAAAAACCAAGGCAAGCACCGCAGGGGGAAACGTGGGGCAAAAAAACAAACAAAAAAATGAAAAAAGCTCCTGTGTGACCTTTTTGTCACCCCGGCTGATACGTCACGTATATACGCCGAAAGGCCTGTAAACCGGCGCCAGAATAGCACACACATAATGCGGTTCCTAAGCGCTAGAGGCAAGGCCATGAGGTAGTTCGAACCTGCGAGCGGAAAATCAACGGGGTGACAAAAACACAACACTACCGACACGAGAAACGGGCTTCTGTCGTTGTTCACCGAAAACTGGACACTGATGGGAGTGGGTAGGAAAGGAACACAACAATGTGGCGGATTCGTATACGCTCGAGACGCGTTTCCTTCACAGCAACTGGTGGTCGTTCCTGGTGTGCCCTGATGCCCCTAAAAAAATAGGGATGGTCTTCAGGAACTGCCTATTTCATCCGCGGATCAAATTCATGGGGAAAAAACCTGCCTGAAGAGCAAAACAACTGTTACGTGTGCGCCCGAAAAGAAACAATGGGATCCCTTTTGCGGCATGTGTTGTGGGAAGTGTATGACCTCGCACCCTTTGCCTCGGTTTGTGACGATAGGTGGCGGTGTGACAGTTTCTGAACAAATCGCCTGCAGGATGGGGTGTGACTCCCCTCCCCAGACCCCTTTGGTGAGAATAGCGTTGTAGGGTGCACGGGCATGAGTATTGAAAAATGCGGGGTGGATTGTCGTGAATTTCCTAAGCAACGAAGCCATGATAAGTTGAAAACACAGATTGGAACACAGCAGTGTGCTGTCGAACATCTCGATAGATGGACAACACAAAAAATGGTGAACCTGAAAATCGAGTAGCGGACTTGGACTTGCCGCCGGAAAGGATATAAAGAGATGCGCCAGTACAAAGGCGGGAGAAGAGGATGCCAAGACACGCAAATGTAGGAAGAAGAAGAAGAGGAGCACAAAACTCAAAGAAGAGCGCTCTCGATATTTAGAGTGATGAGGGGATAAGATGGGTGTCTGAAGGTGAACTAGGGATAGCATTTTTCTTTTCTGGTTCTTTAGAACCCGATTCTACGAAAAATGGCTACAAGAATGGGTTCTTCTCAGAGAAGTAGAGGGTGGCGTTAATTCTTGAGGTTTGGTCAGATGCCACCTCGCGGTGACAAACCTCTGCATTCATTCCATGGGCAGCAACTTTCAGGGTATACGCCCCCACAAGTCGCGCATCGATCAGCGTCCCGTGGACGGTTTACTGCGAGTGGATGAAGCGTTCGGCCAAACCTCCTCTCCGACGCGGATGAACTCCTCAACCCGCCATCGGAACATTCAAAGGTTACGAGACAACGGCAATGGAGAGAGGCGAGAACAGGAAGCCTCTTCCGATAAAGAGAGTGGAATGCGGGAACGGTGTAGATACTGGTGTCGCTGCCCTTGAATTTCACAGCCAGCTAGACGATTGCATTGCATACTCCTGCCGACATACAGTTGCGGGAACTTCGCAGGCGACAGATTTACGGAACAAGCAGCCCGCAACATGTTGAATGTACGGTGATGTGCAATGTGCACACTGCCGATAGCTGTTCATTGGATCTACTCCCATACGCGTTGTACTTCGGGGGGGGGTGTTGTGCGTGGAGATGCTTCGTAGGCGGTTGGTGGCAGCTACGACGAACTATTTGGTGTCTTTGCCAAGACCACAATAGTTGGGAAAACATCAGGAGGATAGATCTAGACTGGTTGAACGTTCCCGTATAATGGGTTGCCTTACTTGCTGCTCTCTCTTCGTGGGCAGACCCTGGCGTTAAATCGATTTGTTGATGCTTCTGCTTGCAGATGGGTTGACGATGGTGACATCTACGAGGACAGACTTGGTGCAGAGATCCTCCTCTTTATCTCCTGCGCGTCATCCTGAGGGGATCACTAAATCCATCTTGTGGAGTCCTTTTCCCCTCCCAGTACCAGTGGTGAATCGGCAAGAATCCTCGACTGCGACAGGCATATGACAATGGCGAAGTGTATTGAGGATAACTCACCATCCTGTTACGGAGGAAAGGTGAGGCGCCGGTCATAGTGCGCACGAGGGGTGGGACGGGCTCAAATGTCATTTGGATGGTGATAATGCACCTGCATGACGACGTCTGCCTGTGTCCTGTGTCACAGTGTCGCTGTCCGTTCGATCGTGACTCCCCAGTACACGACCGCACATTTGCAGGGACTGAAGTTGAATGAAAACTGGGGGGGGGGGTAGCACAGCCTGCCGAGAATTGCCTATCGCGCCTGCGGCCACACGTGCGGAGGGCGTGGTATTGAGGGGGTGTTATTCCCCTGCCTGAAAAAACACTACATACCGCACTGCTGCCGCACTGGCAGGGTGCGTGGTACTGAGCGGGCGTGATAGCAATGTCACCACGGACTATAATAGTGAAGTTCCTGCCGAGTATACTTATAGTCGCGCGGAAGTGAGGGGGTAGGTGTTATGCACATAACCCCGGCATGGAACGTCAACAGCGCTCTCTCGAAACAGCGAAAGAGAGTGTTGTCATGCAATGAAAAGAGGTTCCATCCACCACCACCGCCTGGCACACAGAAAGTATTCAAATAAGGCAAGGGAGGAATAGAGTTGGTTTGAATTGAAGGACCGCTCACGGGGTGGTTCCCCCGCTCAGAGGGTGTGTTGCGCATGTTCCGTGCTGGGCCATGTTGCATGTCATCAGGAACATATGTTGAGTAGTCACCAGGGCGAAGTAACATAGGATCCGCGATACACGCATCCTAACCTCACGGAATGTCATATCTTATGTTCCCGGGTGGTATTTCGGCTGCTCGTTTGCAATCCAAAAATATTAGCACCGGATGTTGTATTGTGTGGGGTGTCTTATCTTTTGTGGGTGTGCTATCTTGTGTCTTTCTTTTACGGTAAGTGAAAGGTAGTTATGTAGTCTATGGTCACCAACCATGCCTGCAACGAAGCCTGCAGTCAATGCCGCGCGCCAGATGTATGGGTACGCAACCCAAGCAAATAGGGCATGTAAAATCAATCCTCGCAGTTGACCCAGTCCATGACCACGTGCCATGATCACCCGTCAGGTGTGTGTGTGTGGTGGACTCGCTCGCACGCGCCAGTTTTTTGTCTATGTTGACTTGCTCACGAATCTTCAGTTATTAGAAGAGAAAGAAAACAATACCGTACACACTATGCTACAAGCAAACACACAAAAGAGTCCCTGGTTAATTCGTAGGCAACCGCGTGTACAATGAAGTCCACGTGACTATTACCAACGATCGATGCACATGCACACACGCTCGGTACTGCGGACTGCTGTGCAAATCTCTGCAAAGCATTTCTTCGAATCCCGACTTTATGCTTGCAGAATCATCGAAGGTATGATACCCCTCGTTCTTGTTGGTGTGCAGTTTGCCCAGTCGCCTTCTACATTACCGTATATGACACAAGATAACACACCCCCTGGGCCGATTTTCAAAGCTCGATTTCTCAACAGCAGGAAGAGTCACAGCGCCGAAAACGGCGGCGTTGGAACCGTCTCGTCGAGAGGTTTTCGAAAATGTATTGTTTCGTTTATGCATCCTCTTCGTCGTGGAGTAATCGAGCTTTGAAAATCGGTCCAGGGGGTGTGTTATCTTGTGTCATATACGGTAATCACATCCTCCCACCGTAACCAAGGCCCCCATGTCTGGGCCCCTCCTTCCTCACTAACTACTAAATAACAAATGAATCCCCTCACCGCCGTGCGCCTGAGCAGGAGGTGTACATAGGGCTCCGATTTTGGAATTACAGTACCACTATCGGGGGTATGAGATACCCAAAATATAAAATACTACTATTGTTGAGGATCCCGTCCTCTGTAAAGTGCCACAGATATCACGATATCACGTTGAGATTGTGACAAGTGGCAACAGATTTTATGCCACTGCACTATCTGCTCACTTGCTGTGTATATATATGCCTTGGGTGTGGTGCATTTGGAGTTGGTAACTGAATTGTCAAATGTTGCCACGGGACACATATCCAAGTTTGGTGTCGTAGCCACTGCTGGCGTTTGTTCCACGAGACAACACATAGACTACTGCTGTACCGACCGAGGGGGCTCATCAGTGGGTTCAAGTACTTCAAACAATCAAATATGATATGTTCCATCCAAACAACTCTCACCGCAGAATTGGAACGGCTGGGCGCATCTTCATGATCCTCTACACGCATTCTTCTTGCATCCCCCTGAAGGTTCGCTGTTATCGGTGACTTGGGTGGGTTCTCAACAGTGTGCTATTGCTGTAAAGCTGTGTACACAAAGCCAGTAGGGGGGATAGGGGGAACAGAAGTATTATAGCGGAACAACCCAAATACTCACTCCAAACTCCTCCAAACTCCTAGACTCCAAACCGATCGATCCGGGGGTTTCGATCGATTGAGGTTGGGAAATCTGATTTCCCGGTTTTAGTTTCGAAGAACAGCTCTGCGCGCCTGACTGTAGCAGATCTGAGTGGGCCACTCTGATGATGTACAGGAAGGAGCGGACACCCTTTCCTGACGGCTCACACATCCACAACCTCACTCACCACAGCTCTGCGCAGCAATAGCACAAGACGAAGCTACCAAGCAATGAAGGCACCGACTCTTCTTCTGTGCGTATTACCGGCAGCCTCTGGATTTATTCCATCTCCTGTCGTTGTGTCGCGAACAAGCCTGGCCGACCGGCGACAGCGAGCAACAATCGCGCAAGTCGCCACCGTCGCCATCGACACACCGCGCACGTTGCCTAAAGGCAAGCGGGTTGTTCGGAGGAAGAAGCGACAACCCAGCCAACCCAAGCACGTGGACACTACGAACGCACCCGTTACGGTAAGGGATGAGTAGCATCGGGGGGAGAGAGAGAGAGAGAGAGAGCGAGAGGGAGGGAGTAGGGCTCAAGCCGAGGGCGGCAGCAGTGGTTCCGGGTGTGTGTACTGCTGTGTAGCGGGGATACGATACTCACAGGAGTAGTCACGCTCGAATTGTGGGTCGCACGGCCTTTCCTTTCTCACGGGCGATTGCACGCCAGCTCTAGAGTGGTCAACGTGTCGCGTTGACATTTCTACAGCTGTACCTTCCTCGTGGCGAAGCCGTTGGCTGAGACTGCATGATAACCTCAAGTACACCTTCTCTTCGGCCCAACTTCGTTTTGAATTTCTCCGAAGTACGTGTGTGCCCGTTGTAAGCATACGAAGACAGAGTGGTCAGGTTGAACGCAGATTCCCAAGTGCATGGTGTTCTGACACAGGCGCCTTTGATTATCACCCGGCGATACCTGTCCTGCCTTGTCGAACATGTCTGTTTTGCCTACTCCGTTCATGGCTTGCGTACGCAACACCAGCAGCGGCACACAACTCACGATTTTCGTCCCTTGGTCTCTTTGTTCCCCCTCACGTTCCCGGTTTTGCGCGCACATGTACGCGGACAGCTCATCAAATCGAAAGCGGAGTACGATGAGATTTTGAGACACAACAGCAACAGCCTCGTGGTGATCAAGTTTTTCGCCCCTTGGTGCCGAAGCTGCAAGGCGTTGGACGTGAAGTACCGGCGTATGGCAGTCGAGAACGACGATGTGAAGTTTGTGGAGGTGAGAGACAGGGAACGGCGGTGTTACCTACAGAGTTTCTTGCGCATCAGACGCACGCTCTGTCGTATGCATGTATGCAAAGTCATGCCAGTTGACTCAACCGCTATCGACTTGGTCGCTGCTCTTCAACTTGTTTCGTCCACGACGTGTAAAAGACTGCAGTCTGTTCAAGCTCCCCCAGGCGCCGTACTGCCGTACACGTGCACTCGTTACTCGTTTGGCAACAACCAAAACGCGGCGCAATGGTTTAAGGGGGGAAGAAGGGCAATTTTGATGTTGACGAATTTTGAAAACAAACGCAAGAGGTCCAGAAATTGTTCAACAGACACAAGACCAGTCGGGAGGCATCGCGAAAAACAGCAATCGTTGATTTTCGCACAGGGCGGCAGTAGAGGCTGCTCAAAACATACATTTCACGCGTCTACCTCCACAGGCTTCCTTTGAAATCAAGATAAAAATTCGCACTAATCTAAATTCAAGTCAAAATAGCCAAAACGGAAGGCGCTCAAATAAGGTCAGTTTTGAGGGTTAAGTTAGGCATTCTATTGTCAGCAGTAGAGGACATCATGAAGAGGCGTCGTGCGTGCTGGCACGTTCAGGTTTGCTACTGGAGCTGAAATATCGAAGATCGCAGCAGCCTTTGAAAACAGTCCGAAATCTGCGCCGGAACCAAGCGGCATCCAACGTTTGTCACAGCCATGCTCACCGCCACGGACCGTAAACCCCTGAACGGAGGGGTGTCAGCAGTAGCTAGTGGCATCAGCTACTGCTGTAAACCCGTAGCTCAGAAGATTGGGGTCGGTGACGGCGAGCATGGCTGTGACAAATGTTGGATGCCGCTTGGTTCCGGCGCAGATTTCGGATTGTTTTCAGCGGCTGCTGCGACCTTCGATATTTCAGCTCCAGTAGCAAACCTGAACGTGCCAGCACGCACGACGCCTCTTCATGGTGTCCTCTACTGATGACAATAGAATGCCTAACCTAAACCTGGCGGGAAGGTTGTTTTCATTTTTTGTATAGGATTAAAGTATGGGAAAAGAGCCAGCGTCAAAACCGCTGTTCTACCCCCCCTTAACTCGAATCCGAACTTTTGCGACGAAACGTTTGGAAGATACTCTACTCGTGGTGTAGACTCTCCTCAGCAACACCAAAGACAGTTCATGCAGCTCATAACACTCATGACATGCGCTTTTGTTGTGCACCGAAACCAACCGGAAACCTCTGGATTTGATTCCGTTTCAATGGGCAAGACTCGCGTTCTGGTAGTAAAACGTACTTGTATCGGGTACGTGTCCAACTCTTACGTGGAATCGTCGATCCAAATCTCACGAGTGTCAGCTTATAACGAACCTGGTTCTTACGCTTTTTTTTTTGCTCTTGTGGCTGATGCGTCCGAAATATATCTACCGAAACGTACGATAGTTGTAAACATCAACGTCCAGAGTAAATAGTATGACTCCGATCGGACAGAAAAACTCCTTTTGCGATGCATATCTTCGTTCCTGCAGATGCATTCAACGCGACGTGTATATATAGTTCGCAGTCCCTCGTCTCGAAGTCTCAAATGCTCTCGAACAAGCGCTAGACCAGCTCGAAACTGTGCGGATGTACGTACGTCGGAACGAGATGCAGGCAACTCAACTCCCGGCCGAGTCGCCAGACGATTTATAGTTTTCCAACGCGACCCACGCTGGCGACATACTGCTTGCTGTACCTACTTAGCGGTTGTTTAGGCTACGCCAGGCTCCTCGGCAAAAATAGAGCGTTGGAAAGAGGGGATGGCGTTTCACAGAACCAAAAACGATAAACTTGAATTTAGAGGAAGTGATTGCACAAGCACTTAAGCTTTTTACGGGGGGGGGCGAAAAAAAATCCGCGAAAGCATCTTTTTAGTTTTGCGACGTAGATCGAAACGTTGAATGTGCCAAATCCAAAGCCTCTACATGTTTTTGCAGCTTAAGGGCGCGGGGGGGATCGCAGTACTTCCTCTTAAAAAAAACAGGAAACGCCTGCATATCTCGGTTTTCCAAAGTCTAACTCCAGTACGAAACTACCATCGTAAATTAACCACCCGCAGCGGTCGCTTGTGTACAATGTTAGTAGCTGAGGTTGTACCCCTTGCGATACACTACAGACTAGCGGTCCGCGATTTTCCAAACGATCCTTCTATCATCGAGTTCGGTGAGCTACAAGCTAGATTTTTGAAGCTGCTGTGCGGTCCAATTTTGAAACGCTTCAAGCACACGGTGAACACGAATCACCGCCTGTGTGAGTGTATGGGGCCGCGAACTTCAGCGCAGCTCTTCCCTCACATATCCAGCTAGTCGCCATTGTCATTGTCGATTTGAATGCCTAGGGTCATGTATATGCATGTCCAGCCTTTAGGCAAAGGTGCTTGAAGCGTTTCAAAATTGGACCGCACAGCAGCTTCAAAAATCTAGCTTGTAGCTCACCGAACTCGATGATAGAAGGATCGTTTGGAAAATCGCGGACCGCTAGTCTGTAGTGTATCGCAAGGGGTACAACCTCAGCTACTAACATTGTACACAAGCGACCGCTGCGGGCGGTTAATTTACGATGGTAGTTTCGTACTGGAGTTAGAATTTGGAAAACCGAGATATGCAGGCGTTTCCTGGATTTTTCAGAGGAGGTACTGCGATCCCCCCCGCGCCCTTAAGAACACCCGGTGCACCAGCTGCATTCGCGTTCAATCCGCGTTTGATGATCGGGCATACACACGTGGAGGACGGCGGCGGCGCGTCAAAGGACCCAGAAGATCCGGCGTTTTGACCAAATTTCGGTCTGCTTCGTGCAACTACTACAGTTCACGAGGACACATCTAGAATCGTTTCTGGTTGTCTGCTGCTGCTGTCAAGTCATGCGACGCCACTCTCACTCCGTATCGGTAGGCTCCGGCAGTTTCGAGCAGTGTGGTCGCTTGTGGCGTGCTGTAGCTGTCGGCAACGGATGAACTCTTTGCTGCGCTGGTTCAACAAAAATCTCGGCGCGAAGATTGTGTTCAAATCGTAAAACTGCCAGCACCTTGATCTCGCGCTACAAGGCTTAAAACTGATAAGCGGCACATTTTGATCGACGGGGTTGCTCAAGCTGGTATGATTTCTCCAAAAAGATTTAGAGGTTTGTGTCTCCTGGGGCTAAGCGCCGGAGGGGACAACTGAGATTTTACAGCAGTCGGCGGGGGCACCGCCCGAGATTTTTTATCTTGCAGTTTGACCTGTGAGAAAAAAATATATGGTTGGGGAAAAAACACCATCGCGGAGCCCCGGGGACACTGGGGACGGCGAGGAGCCTGGCGTAGGCTTGTGAGAAACACTCATCGCGACGTACCTAATTCCAATAATTGGCTGAGTTGTTATGTTGGGGAGACAGGCAGTCCTCTCCTGATAATAACCTTGAGACAATATCGAATGCCTGCGCTCGGCAGAGAAATGCCTCTGAGAGATCCCGGCTTCATGAGAATAGCTGAGGAGAGCTTGACGTGCGCGCAGAAAATGGAAGAGAATGAGCAGATGTAGAAGACACCTCAATTGTATCTCCGAACCGGGATGTTTAGTTCAATTGGAATAGTTGGCAAGCGAACAAGTGCGCAAGCAGCAACAGCATGGCTGTCTATGTGTTTCTCTGAACCTGATTTGCCATGACCTTTGTCCTGTCATCTTGTCATCGCAGATCGACGTACATCAGTCTCCGGACTTGAAGAAGGTATTAGGCGTTCGGGCAGTGCCGACGGTCAAGCTGCACGCCGGATCCCTCGGCCAAGTAGCGAGTTTTACATGTGGACCCCGCAAAGCACCAGAGCTAGCCCGCAAGATACAGCTTTGCAAAGATGTTCCAGCCTTATCAGCACGGCTAGGAAAGGGATCTGGCATGATCGAGATGCTGGCGGACGAATTAAACAGCGACAAGCCGGTGAGACTTGACTTCTTCTTCAGCCCGCACAGTTTGCGGCTACCAGCCTTTTTTCAACAATTCGCGACTCGGGTACACGTTCTCTAGAGCTAGAAACTTGCACGTGCTCCAACGCCGTCTTAAAATTTTACACATCACGCAACGTACCCGTCTACCCCCCCTTCCAGGTGGCTGCATCTTCGTTGCCGCAAGCTGGCCGAGAGGTTGGGTCAGCCGAGTCCGTCATTGCTAAGGGGCTCATGGAGAAGGTAGCAAATCAAGAAATGGCTGAGTCGAGTCAGCCAACGCTCGACGAATTCCCGACGGAGGATGGACTGTAACTCTTGACTTTTTTTGCCAATTGTGTATGTAAATTGTGGTGTCGTCGTGTGGTTCTGTCTTTGCGTTTGAGGTTGAATTGAATGTGTAAAGTGGTGACGTTTGGGGAAAATGTCTAGGCGGAAGTTTTCTGTATTGAGTGAATGAGTTTGGAGCCAGAGAGCGCGGCATCTTCTTGCCTTCACCAAGGCGTTCCGCGGTAAAAACCTTTGCTCCACGATTCCGCGGAGATAGCGATTAGGCGATCACGTGGCCAAACGTTGGGTACGATTTTCTGATTGAAGTTGTGCTTTATGCTACTTTCGAACGTGGCTGACGGTGGAATCGGAGCGTGTGAGTGAGCGCTCCCCGTTCAAACAAAATTTCTAAGTTGTGTCTAGGCCTTTGTTCTTTTCTCCATACGCTACAGCCGAGCACATCATGCCCGCGGCAAAGTCGTCATGCGTTGATATGGCGCTCCGGACACGCGCACACAACATTGAATCAATTCACGAATGCGTTAGCACATGCTCATAGTCAAGTGAAGGAAGAGGCTGCCAGAATGAGATCGTTGGAGTTTTGACCAATTTTGTCGGACTGGACTGCTCTTTCCTCTTATTATCTCGAATTGGAGGTCAAGGTTGGGTGACGTGAAAAGCGCTCTGCTCGCCGCACGAGGCACGACAATTTTACCATATCGTCACGGGAGCAGCGGGAGAGATTCCATGTTGCACCCCATTTCGTTGGCGTTGGCCTGGAATAGATCCTCAGTCCTCACTCGTTGGTACGCTGCAACAGGGCCGGCTGCCGTTCCAGCCAGATGCTGAGGAAACTGTTCATTGGGTGCAAATGAGAACCACTCAGTAGAACACGACCGCCGTTCCAGAGAAGGCGTGTTCCCTGATACAAGTTATAGTTATTCTAGCGATAGACAGCAGCAGCACGTGGCCCAGGCCAATCGAACATGTTGCTTTCGCGTCAGATACTAATGGGCCATCGAAGCTCAATGTCGACAAGAACTCTCGCGTCTCTCAAAGAAGCACAACTGACATGTCAGCTAACTCAAATCGAACGAAAGACTACGTTGACTGCTTGGGTTTCTTGGTCGGGACCTCAACATCTGACGGAGGAGCAGTTTCCAGGGAGTTCGTCCCCAGGTATAGGCGGTCTCCAGCATCGCCGATCCCAGGGATGAGATCCTGACCGTTCTGTAGGGATGATCCAGATATACATGGGACGGCGTTTTGTTCTGTCAAGGAACGAAAGACTTGGAAGCAAAGTCGTCTGTACCGTCCATGCTCATACAGTCAAGAGTTGTGAGAACACAGCCGTAGTGTAGCAGCATGCTACTAATAAGCGTTGTACGACAAAGTTCCGTTCCGGTGAAGGTGAAAACTCTCACTTTGCGAGAATCGAAGGTCAGAAATGCAAGGGAGGGCAAGTTTGTCAAAGCGTCACGCTGCTAGGAAGTCCAAGCCCATTTGTGGTTTACCGAACCGTCACTTGGCGCCGAAGAAGCAAAGTGCGCAAGACAGGGTGTGGGGCCCTTGTTCTCTTACCGGTGCGAGCTCGTCGATTGAGGCGAGATGAACCTGTACCTCCGGGTGCATTTTGTTCAAAGCCTCCAACCCGCTCCGTGATGCAACCAAGGTCACCACCTAGTGCACGGCAAATGAAGAAATCGGAGAGGCGTTGAATAGGAGAGCGTATTCAAGCTGGCATTGAACCGGCCAAGGGTCCTCTCCACCAGACTTATGGCACACCAGTGGCAAGTTACGAAACCGGGAGTGTATATGTAGGAGCGCACCTCGACCAACCGCATCACTGATGGCAAACAGTACCTATTGGCAATGGCACCCACCTTGATCGTCTTGGCTCCCCACTTCTTCACAATGGACACCACGGCATTAATGGTGCGAGCTGCACGTTCGTGGGAGGTAGTGGGACGAACGAAGGAACAAGGAGAGATCAAAACGACAAGCAGAAACAGGAACGCTCTGGAACGATGACATCATGCGAACGCTGCGGGCTGCCCAAAAGCTCTTGATTTTACGACACTCGGCCACACACTGCTTTGTCTTCCATGTTCAAAAGAAAAATTCTTGGCATTTACGGGCAACTCACATGAGGCGATGATAGGATCCAGAATCAGCGCGACGTCGGAGGGATGTCCTTTCGGTAGCCTATTGTAGTATTGTACAGGAATGTTGCTCCCCGGGTTGCGGTACATGCCGACATGGTAGACGGGGGAATCCGGCAAGAGCTCCAAAAGCGCTTCTGTCATCCCCAGTCCTCCCCTGAATAAATTTGCGTGGCAGATCAAAGCAGGAGAGAAATCCAACCCAATCAAGTTGACGGCGTACCAGGCGCCTTTTACGAGAACGCCCCACCCACATGGTGTTGACGCACGCCTTCGACAACACTAGGCATACGAAGGATATAATCTGGCAGAGGTTGGAAACTGTACAAAGAGCAAACAGCAACGCCCGCGCGAAGCGCCAATACACACCAAACCTCACAATGGTACTTACGAGTCTGATGTACAAGTCAGTGCGCTCAGAGCGTTGTTTCATAATGCAAGAGGACAAGCAAGCATGGAGGAATCGTTGAGCAAGTGAATGGTGACGGGGCTTGCCTTAGGATGGGCACCACGGCGACCGTCTCGGCGATCGTTTTCGCGGGGCACTGGTCCGTGCGGTCTGTTTTCACGCAAATGGACGTCGTCGTCAGGGTCGCAGTGGCTTCGTAGCTGCACATGGACGACAAAAAAGGGGAAATATCATGATCATCAATACGCTCGGATGATGGTGGTAACACGACTTGAGTAGTCAGCGCGCCCAAAACAGTTTCGACTGTACTGTGACGTCCTCCGGTGGGTGTGGTATCCCGGTGTGTTGCAAAATACGCATTTGGGCGGGGAATCATGCAATTACCGTAGGTGACCCATGATACCACCCGTATGATAAAACTGCGCTCACAGGACTACACCCCACAGGGTGTGTGATAAAAATGGGGTGCAATGATGGCACCAGTGGGATGAAGTGCGCCCACACGACCCAACCTACAGGGGGGTGCTACGAGGGTGTGTGGAAATCACGGGGTGTGACCAGTGCTTATTCCAGCGTTAAAAAAGAAACACTAAAAAAAAAAAAACACACACACACGGGTGTGGCTTTCTGTACATTTTCGTTAGGGGTGTGGTATCTGCCGTGGGTGTGGTATCTTGCGTCACCTACGGTATACGTACTGAGCGAGAACGCAGCCGTGAAAGCAGTCGAAAACGTCAGAAAACCACGGAAACCAAGCCCTGCTCACCCTAAGTAAAAGGTAATCTCACGAAACAGCGTCCGGAAGTCCTTGGCGGTTCCTTCTTGGCGCCGAATCAGAGCCAATTTGTGTTGGAGAACCTTCGACACCGACAAACAAATGAATATCCCAGGGGTGAGACGTTTGGTGCCTGCATTTGGCCATAGTGGCCACGCACTTGGAGACCGAGCACGGAGCAGAGGCCGCCATCCTAGCGCTCGTCCTGGAATGGCTGTGGTAGTCTAACGCATGCGGTCTAACAAACGCAAACGATCGCTATCCTATCCCGCGAGGGGGGCACAGGGTTGACTGTCCTGGCACGTCTGCTCGTGTACCTCAATCAAGTCTTCCCAATCTCCCAGTCTCCCAGCCCCCTGGGACTACTACGTAGCGTACTCTGCACCGCATTTCGGGACACTAGTATATGTGCCACAGGATATCACTGCTGTGGATGTTACTTCCTAGGTGCGTAGTATGCGTAACACTACAGAACGCCTGGCAGTAAAGAAGTTCTGGCTCAAGAAAGAGAAGATTACAAGTGGACCGAATGAACATGTGCTCACAGGTACGGTCCTAAAGCAGTACACACAGCATCAGTAAGGTTAGTAGTCGCGGGTGGGTTAAATTGTTAAATTTATTTACCCTCGGACGAAACAAGAATGGGCCTCGGTCATAACAAGAGGACATTAGGCTGGTGGCGCCTTCTGACCGCATTCCTCTATGTATCAGCTCACACATTCATTTTGACTGATACCAAACTAAATATCTTTTGTCAAGATATGCATATGAACACTCACAAAGAAGATCGCGGCCGACCAGCACATATGCACATATGACAGGATGCGCATACATGTAGCAAGCAATGTGAAAAACACGATTGGTGCTGCCAGGAGTTTTGACCCAGCACGCTGCAGGATCTTTGCTTGCTTACATCCGTTAACTTGGACAAACTGCATATGCACGAACACATAACCCCACAACAGCAATATCGATGCGCTTGATGATAGCCTGTCAGGTCGCGCGGTTTCACGTTGCACAGCAAGCAGGGGTGCGCGGAACGACGGCTGCAGAACAAAAAGAGGCAGGACTGCAAGAGTCCAAACCTACCGGATGCTGAGAGACCAGCGCTTGAGGACAATCAGATTCGCCCATTGCTTCTTCCGCTAGATCCAAGATATACGGCTGGTGTGCGACGTACCTCGTACTTGTGTGGGGTCCTTATGGGGCTGCCCTGCAGGCAAGCAGCCAAGTGGTTACACCGCAAGAGGGGGGCGACGCACCGAGAACTAACAGAGGGAGGAGCTCCGCCGTTGTGTTCAAGTCTAAATATCAATATCGTAGTAGGCAGGGCAGTCATGCACACACATTGCTTGCCCTCTCTAGCGTGATGGCTTCACCCTCACGATGGCCGACTCTTGCGAGGGGGCGGCGGAGAGGCATGACTTGGTGGCGTCTGCATAGAGTAGCCAGTCTCTCGGTTCTGGCGCTTACCTTTACCTCAACCAGAGGAAGTGAAAATGAGGCAAGTGCAACAAGCCATCTCGAGAACGGACGTGAGGGCAACAACAGCAACAACAACAAGCCTTTCTTCATCCAGGATCCCACCGATGGGCTGTGCCTGAGCGGGGGGACGTTCAAGCGATGTGCTGTAGATACCCTCTGGAAGGTGGAGGGAGAAGCTGGCAGGCATTCAGTTCGACGAGTGGCTGTTCTGGAAGACGGTAAGAGAGTTGACGGGGTGTCTTGATGTGGGTCTCGAGCTTCGTCTTCACTGCGGGCAGGACCCACGCAGGTATTGTAGATGCATACGCTTGGTGCCGCTGTTCATTCCAGTGCCTGTCACAGTATAACACGTCAAATGGTGATTGGCGCACACGGGCACATGGTAGAATCTCAAGTTCGAAATTTACTACTATTTACGTCAAAGTACCTACCTCGTAAGGTGTTTACGCGTGGCAACGTGTGGTCTGTTCATGTGTTCAGCGTGTGTGGAAAGTGGCACTCCGTCACGACCGCCACTCCCAGCTTACCATATGGGATGCGCTCTTGGGCAGGCAGACATTGTGAGTGGAGAGATGCAGATGGCGGTGAGTGCTCGAAAACAGCGGCGGTGTGAAACGTTGCGTTTGCTCGATTATTTGTCCTGCCAAGATACAAACGATAAAGCGCTACTTTTGACCTCCATATTGTACCTACTGCTGTAGCTCGCAGCCGGGTGAGTTTAGCCCCTTTTGGGGTAGTGTTTTTGGTCAATGGCCTCAGGGTCTTTCAATAAAGGGAATATACTATAGAGCATTCAGCAGGATACGAATCGATTGTCCACATGCCCCATCCCTATGGTTGAAATTCTGTTACGCGTTTTGGGCCTGATCGATTGTGGTCCGTTGGGTTATGTTCAATCCTAAAGCCCGGAACGGCCGGGTTCACTACACCGTTACCTGTGCTCTGGGCTTCAAATCTCGTTAAACCCAGTCTGGAGTCCTTCGACGTAATGCAAAGTTTCTCCCCAACAACAACATGAGAAAAGCAGCGGCGGGTGCTAAACGCCGTTGGGGGTGAGCGGAGAATCTAGTGTAGTCAAAAAGCAAGAGTGATGGCCAGACTACGGAGGATCTATCGTCAAGTAAGTGATCCAGCTGTATTTTTCAACCGGGGTCACGATCACACAGGAGCTTTTTTCATTTTTGTATTGTTTTTTGAGGTGCTTGCTTGCCTTAGTTTTTATCGCGAGAAGGGTTCAGCCATCCCTTTCTCTCGTCCCCCATGAAGCCGAAGATTGTTTACTCACGACCTACAGGTTGTGGAAATGCATCCCGGGAAACAAAACCTCCGGAGAGAGAATCGAACCCCCAACCGACCACTATTTAGACCACCTACCTAGACATGCGTAGCTCACACTCTTGGTAGACCGCTTTTCCGAGTGTTGTGGCGTGATAGAAACGTTCTCTGCATAGTACCACCAGGCACAGCAATGTCATATCTGCACCCATCGATCGATCATCTGGTACATTGATCGTACGACGTTTTACCCCGCCGCAGGTGAAGAGGAGGCGAAACAGTTGTGCTTGGACCGCAAAAGCTGCGACTCTGTGACGTCGGTATTACGCACAGCCAGTTGCGATCACTGCGGGGCAAAAGGATGGGACATTGTAGGGTGAGTCCACCTTCAACACCACACCGCGTCGTTGATATTGGGGGTTGTGCATATGTGCAGTTGGTTGCCGTCATCCGAGCTTCCTTATTTTCGAAGCTGCAGTCCCGAAGGTAAGTCCGCTGCACTGCTTTCGATTCCTGACCCACCTCGTTGTTTTTGGTCGTGCAATGCGCTTCGCTACCCGTGGGGTCAGGCATGGCGGTCAAGGGCTCGAGCTAAGCTTGACAGATCTGTCTGTAACATGTTGTAACTGTAGGTCAGTACACATCGAGTCCCGTGTTGGAGGCAGCTCTCTCCATTCTACAGTACACCCGAAAATCCCTCCGTTTATTTCCCTACGTATGTTTCGTGTTTCCGTATGTGTAGGGACGTGGACAGCAGCTACACTCTATCGGTGGGGCGCGTACAGCCTGTCGTGGCAGCCGCGGCAGCGGCGGCATCCGATGGCATGGCCCTGTCCACCGTATTCGAACAGGCAGCTGCGGGCGTAGGTGTTGGGGGAGGGGTTGCGGCCGTTGCACAGATGTGCATTGTCAGAGATGGAGAAGCGGCGAGGATGGGAGGATGCGAAGAGCAGACGCGATTGACGTTGCAGGTAAAAATTGAGGGGCACACCAGAATGGGTGTTTCATACACGATATGTTAAGCACCCTGAGAGAGCGCTTCAGTTTTTCTAGTGGTAGTATTGGGGTATCGCCCCGACGGTGTGCTGGAACAAACCGCTGCTGCATGGCTCTATCGACCGTTGTTGGTCCGTTCTCGATATTATTGTTCGGCAACAAGGGCGGCATGTGATGCTGCCCGTTACGGCATGGGGCGTCTTTCGTAGCCGTAAACCATGTTCGCCTGCCATTTGCATGTTGCAGCGCGATCGTGCGACTGCATACCGTGCATCGGTTCGCTGACTGTAATTTGTTCCCTTTTGCGCCCATGGTTCGTGTTCAGTTTGCGAGCGAGCACGATATGGCGGCTATGGGTGCACCGGGGGTGCGGTTGATCACAGCTGCGAGCGACGGAAACAAGAAAGGGGTCAAAAAGTGGTTGGACCAGGGCGTGGATGTGGACTCACGCGATTGGGACAATCTGACACCCCTTATCGCAGCGTCTAGCCAGGGACACCTGGTGAGGCTGATAGCAGTACCGCAGGGGTGTCACTTTGTAGCACGTGTTTACTATCGCGCCCGGAGAGAAGCCCAGTAGGCCGGGCTTGGCTTTCTGCGGATCACTGTGATTATTGTTTGGTTGTTTTTGGTTTGCCAGTATTAACGAAAAATGACACGGTATCTTGATTGTGTGGTATGACCAACCAAACCGAACGAACCTTAAGCGTAACACGGAGTTGACAACGGCCTTGTCATTGCCGTTGATGCAATTGTGTGTCGCTACCAGGATGTTGTCAAGATCTTGTTGCAACGAGGGGCAGGGGTGAACTCCAAAGACAAGGATAACATCACAGCGCTCATGGAGGCATCTATCATGGATCACAGGGATGTCGTCAAGCACCTCTTGAAGGTACGGAGCAGCTACGTGCGTTGCGCCCATGCTGCTGTGAATCAGTTCAGCGAGGCGGTCTCGCTTGTTTTGGAAACGTCAACGTTCTCGGCGTCTTTGTGACCAGCGATACTTGTAGCGATACAGTACAGGTACTCTCAAGCCACATACATGTAGCCGGCCCACCTGTCGGTACAGCATTTAGTGTTGGAGTAGACTCTACAGTCATACTTAGTCTAGAGCTGATTAGACTTGTTGGTAGGCCGACAGTGTCAGGAAAACACCCCATCTTTTGTACACCGAATGTAGGCCTTTTTCTGAGACCACAAGAAATGTAACTGAGTTTGTGTTCCAGAAAGTCTAACGCCACCGCTGCATTTATTTTGTTTTTGATGCGTTCTTCTCACGCTGACTGCGACGTTGGTGTGTTGTTGTTGTGGTGCATGCAGGAGGGTGCTGAGGTGGACGCGAAAACAACAACAGGAGTGACTGCGTTGTGGCTGGCGGCTGGCGAGGGGAGGAAGGAGGTGGCGGCTAGTCTGATCGCCAAGGATTCGGATGTGAACAATCGCAGAACAGATGGCATCACAGCGGTTATGGCTGCGGCTGTCGGGGGACACAAGGTAAGGTAGTCGTGGTGCCTATCGTGTTAACTCATGTGTTTTTTGTGGGGGCTTCCCGTCGTAGGATGCATGTATTTGGCTTGACCACCACATGTCAGTTGATTGGTTGACCGCAAAATCCGTGAGGTTTCGGGGAAGCCTTCATTTCAACCACAGGTAACGAAGTTTCTAAGATCATCTTTTGCTGGGCATGGTGTTCACTACTTGCCCTTGACGGTTGGCCGATATTTCCAGGATGTAGTGAAGATGCTGGTTGATGCCGGTGCTGGAGTGTCCGACCGGGACCAGGACGGGCTCACGGCGCTCATGAACGCAGCGGAAATTGGCGCTGGGGAAATCGTGACGTACCTACTCAACAAGGGGTGAGGTTTTTATCGCTCACTGTTGAGACGTGAAATGTCATTATGGATACAAACTAGTTGCACATTGCATGGGTTGCGTCGAACCTCCTAATTGAGCCAGGTCAAGTCTTGTGCTATCGAACCGTCTCAAGAGGTTGTTGTCAGCTATTAATACAACCTACAGCAGTCCTGGCGTATCGAATTGGTACCGCCAACATGTACTGAAGGCATGGATGGTGTGGTGCCCACCCGCACTCCCCCCATCGGATGTCGCCCGGTGCCGTTAGTATTTTTAAGCATTTGTCTTATCGTGTGTGAATTGGCCGGGCATGGGGTGTTGTCAGCACAGAGCTGCAGAGTTACGACAGAGACACAATGAATACTCTCAAGCTTACAGTCATACCTCTAGTGTGAGTACACCCTACGATACCGCATGGCACAATACGGCATCACGGCATTCGTTGCGATAGTTCTACGGTTAGTTTACTATGTGTTGTGTATTCCTTGGTTACCACTCACGGCACAATACAGGGCGGACCCCAACGTCATGTCAGAGACGGGCTTTACGTCGCTCATCCTGGCGGCAGCAGGGGGTCATCTGGAGGTGGTTAAAACTTTAGTAGAGAAGGTGAGCATGATGACCGACTTTTGTTTTGCGTCTTGCGTATTGGCTGAGGGCAGTGCCTCTCAGATGTCTGTTAGGTATATTGTACCAAATTCGGCGTCGAATATAAAGGGAGAGCTGGTTGCTTGTGACGGTCCTTCAGGCTGGTCCGGCTTGATTTGGTGATAGCTTTGCCGGGGTCGTTGCGGTCTCCATGCCATATCTCTGGAATATTTTTGCTGCTTATATTCGATGGTTCTCATTGTCTTTTCTTTGCTCACTTTGCTCACTGCTGTTGCTGTGCCGGCCGCGTTGCCCGCAAAAGGGCGCCGAGATAAACGCCGAGCATCCAGAGGGGGTCAATGCGCTCATGTACGGAGCAGCGGGAGCACATCTCGGCGTGGTACAGGTACGAAGATCTACATGAACCGCCGTTGAGCTATACTTCCGGGAAAAAAACGTAATAGCTTCGTTCGCTTCCTTACTTTGCGATTCGATCGTTCTAAGTGGGCTTTTCCGTATACCACGTCTTGTGGGGGGTGCGAACGAGTCGTACGATGTTGGGTTTTTTACCGGTTTGGTTGGTGACTTCGGCGGTTGTATCCCACTTGCTTTTGAGAATTTTCACCAAGTTATGTGTCTTTTCGTATTCCTGCCGTTGGCCGGAGCATTCGATGTCGACATGTCTGCGCAGCGCGGTTTGGTCAATCACTGAGCACACCCTTTGCGATGTTTTGTTTCCTGCCTACACAGTACTTGCTAGATCCCGCCAAGGGGATGACGGGAGCGGAGGTGAACCAGCTGCACGTACACGGAGGATCAGCCCTGATGGAGGTGGGTGTTGGTGGGTTGCGACGGTGACCCCAAGCAAGCAAGTAAGACTACAATTGCACCAACTGCAACTGACTGAAAAGGGGGGCCGGCTGCCACGTGGCGCGTAGAGGTAGTTGAACTTGCGTTCAATGTTTTTTAGGGTTTTCAGGGCAAAATGGGCAAGCGTTGGTGTCCGAAGCAGTTTCGTCCTGTTGTCAGTAATGGACTCATCATTCCCAAGGCTTACGAGCATCTCAGTCCTTACTCTCACCACCGAGTAAAAGAAGGATACCATGAGTCGCAGCAACATGCACCAAGCCGGTTGTTGGTACTTGGGGATAACGAAACGCACCCACGGCCACAAAGCGCCCTGCCGTTTGATCTCATCACCATCCCCTGTTGGGTCCTTTTGGGACACGCTACTCCGCGATCCTTTGTACGAAAGCCTTAGTCCCTGAAATTGTCGCCCGTGTTGTGTCAAGCAGGCAAGCACCTCTGGAAACGTGAGTGTCATAAACCTGTTGCTCAAGAAGGGGGCGGACGTATCGGTAACAGACAAGGACGGCGTCACCACTCTCATGTCTGCGGCCAGTCACGGACATGCACAGGTGTGTGTATTACTAGCACATGCTTCCAAGCATGATGCTCGTTTCTATGAAGGGCCTCTCATTATCGAGCTGCGCGCCTTCATGACGTCTGCACTGGTATTGTCGGTCGTTTACCTGTGTCGTGAACGATTGTTGGTAATCAAGTTGCGACTGCGCTTCATATCTAGCCGTACTGGCGATTTTGCGCCTGTCGCAACATTTACCCGTGGGTTGGTTTTGCCAACTCTGAGCGACTACAATACAACCGGGTGGTGGTCCCCTCCTCAGGCCTGCAAGGTCCTGCTGGATGCTGGAGCTCCCCTAGATACGAAAGCTTCCTCGGGGGGAACGGCTCTTATGTTTGCCGCTGCAGCAGGGTACACTGACGTGGTGGCGCTGTTGCTGGAGAGGGGCGCTCATGTCAACGACACCGTCCAGGTGACTTTTTTAGAGGAATTTTTTGTGAACGGGTGTTGCACACCGGCGCGTTTTTCCTGTCTATGAATACAACGTATCAATTTGTTGAAAATGATAGGGGTAGATCATCATGTACCAGGGCGTGCTGTTGGGGCTCTTGCTGCGTGACGGCAGAAGTTGGTGGACATCGCGGGGTGGTTTCTCAGGGAAAACAAGGAATTGGCAGGGAAAGCAGGGCGGCGGGACACACGGTAGGCATGCAATGTGAGCAGGTACGTATTTTCATTTCAATAAACGTGGAATCGAAGGGTTGTGATTCGCTTGCCGTTCGTGTGGCCTCGGTGCAACGGTTCTACATGGCTTTAGCCCTACCTCAGTTGGTGTAGCGCATCGTCAGTACTGCATACAATACACGTAAAATCACGATGGACCAACGCACCGGGCAGGCGTCTGAGACTTACAAGGCAAACTTGTTGAAGAGCAACACCGGCGAGGGCGATTCTCCCATGGGGGCGGAAACACACACGGATGGAGTCACATCTCTCATGGTGGCAGCCGTTGGTGGACACATGGTAATTAAGTGCCTTTGGACGGTAGCGTGGTCTGTCCCGCTTGAGCCAGTGATAGTGACCCACATCATTTAAGTGACTTGAGGGCCCACGTTCGGGCAATGTGTTTTCGCAACGATCTATTATAGTCCATGTCGCTTGTCAAGAAATGTGTACAGAAAGGAGTTGGGTGCCACGGGCACAGATTGCGTTTTTTCGGCGACAAAGTACAAGGTATCGAGGCGTTTCTGTCCTCGATCGTTGGGCCTATTGGTGTGGTGATTCCATGCGAAACGTGTGAGAGTGCAGGTCTCGAGAGGCTTACCTCTTCAATATCACGCAAACGCAAACCACGTGCAGGATGTGATGCGCGCATTAGTTGAAGGCGGAGCTGATGTCAGAGCTGTGGACGACCAGGGATTGAGTGCACTTCTCAACGCAGTGAAGGTGGGTGCGCTTTAATCCCGTTTGAACGGGTATGCCACGCTCGAAAGAATTGTGCAGCACCTATAAGCGGACAAGGAGATCCGAACACACACATACGAACGAACCATGTACACCAACCAATGAGGCCTGACGAAACCCTCCACTGATAGCGGCAGAGACATAACATGATGCATGTTGTCGAATTAACCCGTCCCCCCCCTCGGTGTTTGCCATCGGGATTGGGTTTTCGTCGCTTGGCAACGACGTTGTAAAACAAGCCAATTCACTTCGTGAACTCGGCAACCAGGTTACCGGGTTTTTTTTACCTCTGTTTTTTTTTTTTGCGGTAACCATAATGGTCGTCGAGTAGATTTTGTTGTTGTGCAGGGTGGAGAACCCTCACTCCGCGCAAGGGGGATGATCGCACCACGTTGTGTTAAAATGGTCAAGCATCCCCGAGGCAGTTACACAGTGCTTACAACTACTCTGGAAGTGAAAGCACCAGAAAATAAATTAAGTCATACGCAGCTGCCATCCGTACGCAAGGAAGTAAGCACAAGATGCCGAACACCCTTAGCAGGATGCAGCTCACCCTTCATGCGACTCGCCAAATACCTCACGGCGCTTCGCGCTTGGTGATGTGAGAGCCTGGTCCGGTGAGAACCCGGCGTGCTCAGTCCCGGCTTTGTAGGGATGCGAGGTCAATAGTCTAACGACTACGGCATGCACGACTATGAGTACCCCCCCCCCCCCCCCAGCACTCGGGACGCAACCCCCTCTGGGGGCTCCGAAACGTTCAGCTGCCAAGCCTACAATACAAGCACATGTTGCTCCGTGTACGTCCTGGTTTTGACGTGTTTGCATGTTGTTAAGTCGCTTCCCTTGACGCGTGTGGTGTGTTTTGGGCGCACAGGGGAACTTCGGTGATGCCGCCTCGTACCTGGTGGAGAAAGGCGCGGATGCAAATGACGTTTATGTGGACGAGGGAGGGGATCGGCACTCTCTGCTGATGGACGCTATTATCGTTGAGAACGTTCCCTTCGCGGAGCTGTTGGTCAAGCACGGCGCGGACGTGAATGTGACGGACGAGCAGGGCGTGACAACCTTGATACAGGTGCATACAGTAGTAGGGCTTCAAGAGAGATCGCCTGCACTAATTAATTTGCGAGTGCTAGCACAGGTTACTTTTTGTGACTCAGAGGGCGATGTCTTTGACATTCCAGCGTCCTCGCCGACTCTTTTCTGTTGCGATTCACACATGCTTGACGCGTGACATGTTGCCTCCCTGGACCAGGCGGCGCACAGAGGCATGTTGGTGATCTGCGAACTGGTCGTGGAGAAGGGTGTTGCTGTTGCTGCGAAATCTGATGATGGCATTACAGCTCTCATCGCTGCCGCTAGCGAGGGACACGCGGGCATCGTGGAGCTTTTACTGGGGAAGGCTAAAGCAGATCCTGACGCCAAAGACAAGGTGGGGGCTAAAAGATCGTGTGAACGTGGACTGGTGCCAAACTTGAACGACCAACGGATCGTCATGAAGTGACCCATTTCAAACTTGAAAACGACAAGTTTTATTTCGCGGAAAATCGTCGCGATTCGAAACATGCTGCGCTGGATAGAGCTGACAGCTCTGTTTAGTGTAAGCGCACATCCGGTGGGGATGGATATCCACCGTTCTTCCGGTTCGTGTGTGCATTGTAATCTGCGCAGCCTAGATACGGTCCGTACTACCGGCGCGTACAGAAGTGCTACAATATACTGCTGTCGTCATGTGGGGTTATCATTAACGTCATAGTTTTTCTATGACACATCGTGCGATACTCGTCCCTAGTCACAAGAGGGTATGCAGCAAACGCCTATTTAACACTTGCAGCACCGTTTTAGTTGTCGAGTAGATGATGACCGGAGTCTCCATGTGAGCGTCTTATGAAGCTCACGTCAAGCCGTGAAACTTTCTTTGTATTACGCAGGACGGCACAACGGCCCTGATGGCGGCATCCGTGCGAGGGCACAAGGATGTGGTCGATGCCTTGCTGCGACATGGCGCGAACGTCGACCAGCAAAATCTGGATGGTCACACGGCCCTAATGTTTGCTTACAATGGAAGAAACCAGGTGACGAATTGCCTCATCCAGAGAAAGTATCCTCCCTCGTGAAAGAGCCATTGACAGCTGCTTTCTCACTACAACCGTTTGTTGCGTCGTAGAGTTGGTTCTCAGCATGTTCCTTCTACCGCAGATCAAGCGTCGCACGTGGGTGCTACAGTATGTCCGCAGCAGCGCCGTGAAGTTTTCTCGCGTATCTCGTATTTACCCCGCCCGTCTTGTGCATTGGGTTTTCGCAGGTGGCAGCATTGCTGTCTCGATACTTGGAGTACGTGGGAGGCAAAGAGGATGACGGGAACGCTAAGATTATCCAGGATTCGCTTCAGGTCAGCAGCACTCGGGTCGTCACCGTTTTTCCTTGTGCTTTGTTCTTGAGTGGGTGGGAGCCGCTGCCACGGAGCCGATCTCAGACCGTTTAACACCTTCCATCGTGTCTTCGACAGGTTGCACGAAACGAGGCCGCTCGTTCAACCAGACAGTGAAACGCTTTTTTTTCTGCGGCAGCATATCACGCCGTCATTGAAAACGCGTCTGGTGTTGGGTCCGCCGCAGATTTGAGGGTTGTATACGTCTTCTCGCCAATGATGATCGTTGGGTCCTCTGGCTAGCAGCCCATCCCATTAGGCCCCACCGAAGAGGGCTGACCTCCGCCTCCTCTGATTGTTACTCAACCACTACCATCCACCATCATCCATCGCTGTCGCAGGTGCACACGAACATTATCGCTGCTCTCCAGGCCGCGGATGCAGACCCGGGACTTCTCGACACCAACGGCAACTCAGCCCAAGACTTTGACTCTCAACATCCTACAGGGCAGGAAACAGAAGGAGGAGCGAGTGGGGCAGGGCGATTGGAGCCCCCAAGAGCTAGGCCAGCGGTACCCCCAACGGGGGACAGGGATGAGCTATAGAGCTTGGGGTCAACGGACAATCGAATGAACTGCTTAGAGCTAGCTTCAGGGTTGGGTTCCGGGGTAG